TTCAGGAAATCAAGTCCATTAAGACAAGAAGGAGGCAGGGTCCGGTTTAGGGATATGGTAGGGGACGTGGATTCCCCGAGTCTGGAAATATAGAGAAATGACAGTTTCTGTAGTGACAGAGACTTGCTCTCTGCTGCACTCTTAAGTAGCTCTCAAGGTGCCAGAAGTTGTGGGGAACGTGGATGGTCTGGAGAGGATGCTTCTGAGGACCAACCCTCAGCCTGTAGGGAGTAGCAAAGCCCAACAGATGGCGCCACCATGATGACTGAGCACTGATGATCAGCCAATCTAACAAATGGGCACGTGAGGCAATTGAATTTTATTTGAAAACAAAAAACAAACAAAAAAAGAAAACGTGAAGTCTCATAACTAAGACTGATGAAATTGATTCTCTCTGTTGGGAGTAATGAAAGGATACTATCTCGCAGTATGGGAGAAGAGAAAACATTTAATACTGACTGGCATCATGTCCCTCAGTAATCCTGGCTTCAACATTATCTTTTCCCTCTGGCCTGGCCTAGTCATTTCTTGTGACCAGTTCCCACTCTTTCTGTTCAGATTCTCATCCTGTGTCCCCTCTTCATCCCATTCTTAGTGTACCCAAATCTCTGTCTTCTTTGCCCACAGGCAGAATCTGAAAAGTCCTTGTTCTTTATCATCAGTACAAATTAAAATTTGTATCTGTCTCCTTTACTAGCATTCCAGACTACTTTTGGGGACCATCTTGCATACATTAAAGGGTTCATGAAGGGCCCTCTCTCATTAAAAGTGACTTTACCCAAGAAATAATTTATCCCTGAATGAAATAATTTATCCCCTACAATGAAAATTGCTGTAAATTTTTGGGAAGGATAGTTTACAGAGTGTAAAGAAAACTGTTAGAGAAATAGACCATATTTCTGCACGGAGAGACTCTATATTGTAAGAATGTCAGTTCTTCCTAAAATTGATGTCTACAGCAAAATAAGTTCCAGGTGAATCAAATGTTAAACATTTCTAAAAATGTATAAAAAACTAAATTATAATTAATCTGGATAGCTATGCAAACTCTGAGAGGAAGGCATTCTAATATTTTTTAAAAATGGGAAAAATTTGACTATCGAAAGTTAACGTCATTGTATTTAAGAAAGATCAAAGTGGTTAAAAATTTTGTAGCAATTATAACATAGGCTTACATCTTATTTTAATGAATGGTTCATATAAATGAAAACAAAGCAGGAAGTCTGGAATGTATAAAAGGACAAAAGTTTAGACAATTAACTAAAGAAGAAATACACTAGTTAATAATTACAGAGAAAGTGTTCAAACTCTAGTAATCAAATGAACTTAGATTTTTTAAAAAAGAAGACCATTTCTAACTTCCAAACTAGCAAAAAATGTTTTTTAAAGTATAACAACATACTGGTGAGTGAAATATCACTGCTACACATCAATGAGTTATATAACTTGCGACAATTATTCATAAAAGTCCTTAAAACAGTTCACACATTTCAGCTTAATGATTCGATGTAGGAGGAATTTATGCCAAGGAAATAATCTTAAAATTTTCATACAAATTTATTAATTTTAGCATTAATTATGAGATCAAAACATTCGAAAAAAATCCTCATATCCAACAGTTGGGTAAACTAACTTGTGGAATATCATGTAATTCCTTTCAAATGACATTTAAAGTAATTCTGTAACACCATGGAAAATTTATGGTAGTAAGCAAAAGGCAATGTTGGTCAATAGCAATGTTAAAATTTGTCTAAGCTAACTGTTACTTAGGAAAACAAACATTTAGACACAATGACGTATCACTACACACCCACCAGATTGGCTAAAATTAAATCGAGCAAAAATACCAGCCATAGATGAGCATGTGGCCCAACAAGAACCCTCACGCATGGCTTATGGAAGTGTAAACTGGGCCTGTTTGGCACTATCTAGTAAAGGTGAAGGTATGAACACCCAATGAACCAGTCATTCCATTCATAGGCATAGAACCCAGAAACGCCTGCATGTGAGCACCAGGGTACAGGAATGTACAAGAATGCTCAGCACAGCAATGTTTGGAATAGCCTGAAACTAGAAATGTCCATCACCAGTAGGATGGATAGATTGTGGATTACTTGTGCAGTGAGACAGAACACAATCAAATGAACGAATGACAGCTTCAGCATCACAACATAGATTATTTTCACAAACATAATGTTGAATGAAAGAAGCAAGTCATAGAAGAATATGTGTTTATTATTTCACTTATATAAAGTTCAAAAATAAATGAAACAAAACTTTCTTGCTTAGGGATACATACAGAGGTGGTAAAACTATAAGAAATGCATAATACTCAGGAGAATAATACCTTGGGCGGGCTGGAGGAGTTGCGCTGGGGAAGGAGCATAGGAAAGTGGAGGGCTTCTCTGGCTCTTGGAGGTGTTTGATTTCTTGACCTGGCATATGATCGAAGATGGAGGCAGACACTGGAGTGAAATATCTATAAGCCAAGGAACCCCAAGGATTGTCAGCCATCACCAGAAGCTGGGAGAGAGCCATGAGACAGACTCTCCCTGAAAGCCCTTAGGGGAAGCCAACCCTGCCGACATCCTAATTTCAGACTTCCAGTCTCCAGAACTGTGAACACATTCCTGTTGTCTTAAGCAAACTAGTTTGTGGTACTTTGTTACGGCAGTGCTAGGAAGCTAACATATTGTATTTTCACATTAAGAATACTTATTAAGGGGAGCCTGGTGGCCCAGTCGGTTAAGCGTCTGCCTTCGGCTCAGATCATGATCTCAGCGTCCTGGGATCGAGTCCTGAGTCGGCTCCCTGCTCAGCAGGGCATCTGGCGTCTTGCTTCTCCCTCTCCTTTTGCCCCTCCCCACACTTGTGCTTGCTTTCTCTCTCTCTCGCTCACTTTCTCTCAAATAAATAAATAAAACCTTTTTTTAAAAAAAGAATATTTGTTAGAAGTTTCCAAGAATTTATAGTTGAGGTCTCTAATTTCTTGAATAAAGCACAAAATCTAAAATAAAAAAGTACTCAAATTGTCCCACTTTATATATTCTCTGGAAAAGTTATGCTCAAGGATACAATTCAAATATAAAAAATAAAGATCTCCTATTCAGAAAAGAAATCTATGCAGCACATCTAGTTGTACCAACAGGTCAAGGATCAATAGTAAAAGTCCAAGTACATTAAAAAATAAAGGATGTGGTTTGTTCCAAGTTGGCCTGTAAAATTTTCATCCTGACCCTTTGATTCCTTTCCTTACTGGAAATTCTCCAGTGTCTGAAGTGACCCTGCATTTGGCTTCTGGGAAGCCATTCTTATTCATTCCATTTCCCTCCAGAGCAAAGCAGGGCTGACCTGGAAAGACATCTGACACAGAGCTTCTCCAGGGTGGAATACTGATGCACATGGATGGCTCTGTGGGAGACCATCTTTGGTTATAAGTCTGCTCTCTGCAAGTTGAGAGAACAGACAGCCTCCGAGTTTATAGCGCAAAGTGCTCTCAGAAACCTCCCTGGGGGGTTGATTTTGTATAGGATGCTGAGCATGTGTGTGGGAGTATTGCCCTTCCTAAGTAGGTTCTGCCTGATCACAGGATGCCATAAACAAAGGCATAAAGGGGCAATATATGGAAAACAAATTTTTAAAAAAATCACAAAATGCAACGTGATTTCTCTAGTCCTCTCAAGTTTTCAACTACCCAAAGAGAGCAAAGTACAGGAAAGATTTCTTCTAGAAAAATCATGAGGTAGGATATACAGTGGTAAGAGATTTCTGAAGCCAGGCTGTCTGCTCTCAGACCTTCGTTCTATCGCATCATAGCTTGATGTCGTTATTAGCCTTTCTAAGTACAAATTCCTTCATCTGTAAAATTAGGGTAAAAATTGCACCTATTGCGAAGGGTTGCTAGGGAAGATTCAATGAGGCAACATATGAAAAGCATTTAGCTCAGAATGTTACAAATGGTAAGTGCTTAATAAATATTAGTTGCTGAAATAATAATCATTATGATAAAAAAATCTTTCCAGATTTAAACTTGAAGTAGTTATGAAAATTTCCAGTAGAATTGATTATAGAGTAGGCCCCCTAGGGGTCGATGCGTTCACCCCATTAAATTAGGCAGAGAAGGAAAATTTCAGCTTCTTAAGTTGACCATTCTAGTACTTAACACACTCTATCAGAAAAATAAAATTCACTTCAGTTTCCTAGTGTGTTAGATAAGTGAGTCCGGTTAAGTAATTTCTGCGGAGCTTTCCAAACAGTACAAATTTGTATTTCTAACAACCATTATCAGCCATAAATCAAATATGCCTCTAAGTCACTCTCTTTCTTTCAGTGAGTATTTCTATTAGACTGGCTTCTACCCCTTTCCAAGCAAAATATGACCTTTAGGCTAGCTTGGTGGTCACAGTGTTTGTGTTCTTAGTTTTCCCCCAGTTGTATTCCAAAGGAGTCTTAGACTTGGGTGGCTCTAGTATCAGCTATTGGCAGTCAGAGCTGGGCAACTTCCATAATACTAAAGTTTGCTTGGACCAAACTTTCAGGTTCCCAGCTTTGAAAGAGAAGAAAAACATGATTTTGTGAAACATTCAAAGAAATTGGTTTTATTTAAAGCCACCTGTGTGAGCTCCAAAGGTTGCAATATAACCTTTATTTTCAATGATATTTGCTATTTTATCGATAAAAGCTATTTAGTTACAGGAATCACTTTGTATTTTCCAATCCACCTGGGGAACTGAAACTCAATGGAGTGCTCTGGCTTTCCCGTGGAAATCGTCGGTTCTCCCCCCACCCTTACCCAACCCCAGTACATTTGCTGGTTGTCCAGGAGGCGGCCCTGTTGTTTCAAATGCCTGGCTTCCCTGGGGACCAACAAAGGACCCTGGAAAGGATGGCTTATGTAAGGCAGTCAAAGGTTGAAAGGGAAGCGGTGGGAAAAGTCTTGAACCTCAGGAATAATGGCAAAATATGTTGACGTAATTGTCTTCCTCAATCGCCCTTTCTAGGGGCCAACGTGAACATGAAGACCAACAATCAGGATGAGGAGACGCCCTTGCACACGGCTGCCCACTTCGGCCTCTCGGAGCTGGTGGCCTTCTACGTGGAGCACGGGGCCATAGTGGACAGTGTGAACGCCCACATGGAGACCCCGCTGGCTATCGCCACCTACTGGGCCCTCCGCTTTAAAGAGCAGGAGTACAGCAGGGAGCACCACTTGATCTGCCGCATGCTGTTGGACTACAAGGCCGAGGTCAACGCCAGGGATGATGACTTCAAATCCCCGCTGCACAAGGCCGCCTGGAACTGTGACCACGTGCTCATGCACATGATGCTGGAGGCGGGGGCCGAAGCCAATCTCATGGATATCAACGGCTGTGCGGCCATCCAGTACGTGCTGAAGGTCACCTCTGTGCGCCCGGCGGCCCAGCCTGAGATCTGCTACCAGCTCCTGTTGAACCATGGGGCTGCCCGGATATACCCTCCACAGTTCCACAAGGTAAGGCTATGTGCAAGGTGCCCAGTGCAGAACCCAGTAGTCAGCAGGGTCCCCAGAGACTCCAAGGATGGCTGGGTCTCTTCACTCTGGAGATAACTCAAGCTTATTTGAGACTTGAGTCTCTGGCTAACTCCCTTTGATTCTCCAACTGACCTCACACTGACATACACGACCCTGGCGACTCGGTCCTTGTCCAGTTTGGTTTGAAATCTGGGGCTGAGAGCTAAGAATGAGAACAAGAGTGGCAGATAATTCTCCATGCCTCGTGTGAGCGCCAGTGAACAGCTAGCAGCTTCTGCCAGACTGAGTTGAGAAAGATCAGAAAGCTACTTTAAGTCTCCTGCAGAGACCAGTGGCGTCAGACAGGAAAATACTTGCCATCTTTTGAGCAGAATATATTTTAAATTACGTACAGAATGTATTTTAAATTACGTATGGAACTGTTCTTGTTTTACATTTTTATCTCTGCACTGTCACTTATAACTCGTTCAGTCTAGACTTAGCCAAACTCTTCATGCCAGGAATAAAGAAGCCTGGACTTTGGGATCAAACAAACTTGGGTCTTTCCACTTCCCTAAGAATTTTACTTTGAATACATTACTTAAGTCTCCCAAGCCTCAGATTCTTCCACTGTGAAATGGGTACACTCTGCCTTTATGCTTTTGCAATAATATGCAGACGTGATCCTACATTAGAAGGAAATTAATCTTACTAGTAGCACACAGATATATTCAGAGCCCAGAGGATGGTGCAAACCTTTCTTTACTCTTCCTCTTGAGTCGCTTCAGTCCTTGCAGAGTGCCTGCCCCAGCTCCATCCCACATCTGCAAGTACCTCTCCCTTGGTCTTTGTTCATCTTCTTGCTCCACCTACATCTCATTAGTAGGGCCATCTTCATAGTGCAACTTCTAGAAGACAGACAATTGATCTCTTTCTACTATGGCTCACTCCACAAAGCATAATTCCGTGTGTATTTATTTTCTAAGGCCACCTTCTTTCCAGAGCAAAGGGTGGAGAGGGAGGAAGGGCATGGAGGTTCCAGCGAGGTTCCACCTCGCTTTATCTGTGAATAATAACTGTTTTCTCCTAAGTTTGCTTTCAGAATGAAACAAGATGACATTTGAGAGGTGTTGGCACTGTGCCTGGTGAGTGGCAACCATTAGAAAAATGGTGGCTGTCATTCTTGCTATTATTACGTATTTTTGATCAGTGGAATCAGTGCCCTGGGCCTGGGTTAGCCACAGGGGGCCTCTCCAACCAGGAGAGACAATGTGGGAGACTGCCCAGAGACAAAATGCCGTGTTTTAGCCTGAAACTCACTGCTAGTTGACTGTGGATGAAACAGGTCTCTGTGAAAGTAGCTAGAATACCCTTTCCTCTTTTTTCCCCTTTGAGAGCCAGATTGAGGGAAATGGGCTTTCACAGGGAGTTTCTGCTCTCCAGTGAGAAGTCTTGCAAATGTGAAGAAGGTCCCCAGGTCCTTTTCCCAAAAGCAGTTCCCTGAGAGGTGACAGAGAGGAGGCTTAGGAGCAGAGGCTTAGCGATGAGTCCTGGCTTGGCTATTTATGTGCATTACGATTTCTGAACAAGTCCCTGATCTCTCAGATCTCAATTTCCTCATCTGAAAAAATGAAGGTAAAAATACCAGCTTTTCCAAAATGTTTCAGGAATAAGTGGGTAAGATATGTCCATCATCCAGCCCAGTAGTGGCGCTCAACAAAATTGTTTCCTTTCATCTTCCTCCTCTCAAAATGTACACCTCATCTATTGCAGGAGTCCGTCCTCCTAGCTTTACTTCGGTGGCTCCGCAAGCCTGTAACATCGGTGGCTGATTGTGTGCCCCAAGGACATTATCCAGAGTTAGCATGTTCTTATTCCCTTATGTTTCGCTCCTCTGAACTCCTCCAGTTTGGCCATATGCTAAAGAGATTTAGGATGGGATTGGCCACTGGTTGATGGCTGGTATTATAAACATTTTTGTTGCTACCCAACAGACAGTGTGAGGGAACTGGCCCCCTTCCAAAGGAAAACTAAAGAAAAACTATTCCATTTACTATGCAGATGCTTCAAAGTGATTTAGCACAACTACTCCACAGCCCGACTGTCCAAAGAGAAAGTCATCTTTACGACAAGTAAATGACTGACTCATTTATCCAGAAGATAAAGTGATTTGTTCTCCTGTGGATGGGGAATTCAGTTTCCCTATTTACAAGGAACAAGGTCAGAGCTGAAGATGCTGTCTTCCAAATACAAAGCAAATTTGTAGAGGGTGTATTTCACTGAAAGCCAATGTATAAATTACATAAGGGAAAAAAAAGAATTATAGGGTCTGCAATTGCTTTCCAGGGTACAAAAGGACATTTGATTTTTTTTCTCTCGGCATAATTCAGAAGGAAGTGACACCCCAGGGAGCCAAGATTGGGTTTTCTTGTAGGGCAAGAAAGACATTTTTCTAGGGGAGGGAAAGGTATGTAAGGGTTTGGGGGAGGTAAGGATGATTTCTGCTGTTGAACAATGCTGCAAATGAAGCCCAGAATACAAGCAGTCTCTTTGATCATTAAGTACTTTTCTGCACACAGATATATCAATATAAAAAGAATTTTTTGGCTGAAGTGGCTTACAGAGGTGGCATTGTTTTGGAAGGGTGGCAGGGAGATTTATCTTGAATCTCTTTTTTAATTTATGCTTCCAGGGGCCAGATGATGAGAGCAAGTGTCTAGAGGTCTCTCCAGGTGCCACCATTGTAGAAAGAAATTTTTGTCCAACTGTTCTTCCCTGAAGAGAGAATAGAGACACCAGAGACCCACAGAAAGTGAAGGTCTGTTTCCAGGTGGACAAAGAAGAAGCAGAAGCTTCTCCCCCTGAGTCCACAACAGTCCTTTCTCATTTGATGGTCAAGGTTCCTGGTAGTCAGGGTAGAGTGATGATATGGAGTTTGATGTCTCTTAAGGATCTCTTTTGTTGTTGTTGCCCAGTAGAATAATTATTGAGGCCTGAAGACAGTGTGTCCAACTGTCTTAGTTCTGGAAGAAGCCTGACATGCCAGTGAAGAGAACTGGGAGGCTGTCAGGCTCCTAACGAAGACTTTCGTGCTATGAGAACCATCTTCTGTGAGCCGAAAACATAGTGGTCAGTGTCAGCAAAACCTAATGACAGCAGTGGGAGCTTTGGACTTTGTGCATCGAAAGACTGCAGGTTAAGAACTACTTAATTTTTTTTTTTCGGCCGAATGAAAGGTAACAAGTTATCTCACTGTGATATGTGGGAGTATGCCAGGTGCAAATTGAGGCACCAGAAGTGTGAAGGAGTCTCCTGAAATATGAATGGATGATGTTCCTGTACACATAACTTAGTTTGAACTGTTTCTGAATGGAGGCTGAGAATAATGTTGCCGAATAAAATACAGGATGCTCAGTTAAATCTGAAGTTTAGATATATATTAAGTACTTTTTCATATAAATATGTCCCATGCAATATTTGGGACACGGGGTGCACCTGGGTGGCTCAGATGGTTAAGCGTCTGCCTTCGGCTCAGGTCATGATCCCAGGGTCCTGGGATCGAGCCCCACATTGGGCTCTCTGCTCCTCGAGGAGTCTGCTTCTCCCTCACCTTCTACTGCTGCCCCCGCTTGTGCTCTCTTGCTCTCTCTGTCAAATAAATAAATAAAATCTTAAAAAACAATATTTGGGACATGTTTACACTAAGAATTCTGTGTTGTCTACCTGAAATTCAAATTTAATCTGGCAGTCAATATTATTATTATTATTAGTTAAATCTGGGAACCCTAATCTGGAAGTAGGTAATGTGTTACAAGAGGAGAGTAACTTTTATCTACGTCTCTTCTGTGATCGAGGTGTTGGCAGGAAGGGGAAAGTAGGGAATATCTGGGGACAAATTACCTGTGTTGGGTAAGTGAGCATTTTGTCTTTAAATATAACGAGTGCAGCTTCCGTGAAGAGTGAGCGTGACCGGGGAATTAGTGTAGAGCAGAGGCCAGTTTTCTGAGTGGCCCTTAAACCATGTGCAGAGCCTCATTACACGCTTTCTGATTTCTCCATACTTTTTTGGTTTATAACTCCATTATAAGTATACTTTTGATTCAAGCCTTGGATTAATTTCAGCTATCATCTCTGTACTAGTGACTCTTAAATGTAAATCTCTATTTGGGATTATCAACTGATTACCCACGTACTTCTCACCACAGATCATCCTTTCAGAAAGGATTTATCTGGAGGTCTTTAGAGAAGGATGTGATGTTCCCAATGGTGACTATGTTTATATCACCAGCAACAGCTTTACATTCGAAAGAGAATTCTTTTGAAATTTCAACAAAACTCAGCCTCAAATAATTAGGGTAAAGAGTGATTCTTTTTTTTTTTTTAAAGACTTATTTATTTATTTTAGAGACAGAGCACGAGAGGGAAGAGGGTCAGAGGGAGAAGCAGACTCCCTGCTGAGCAGGGAGCCCGATACGGGACTTGATCCCGGGACTCCAGGATCATGACCTGAGCCGAAGGCAGTCGCTTAACCAACTGAGCCACCCAAGCGCCCCAAGAGTGGTTCTTGTTTCAAAATATCTGTGCAATGAGATTTGTGTCCTGAAACTACTAATTTCACTGGCCGTTATCTAAGAATTAAAATAAGGGAATTAGAATATATTTGAAAGAGCACTAAACTCAGATTAAGAAGACATGAGGTTAAGTCCTCATGCTTCCTCTTACTGTATGCCTCTCTGTTTTTCAATGTTCTCATCTCCAAATTGAGGTGAATAATCTTTAGGGTCCCTTGCAACTCTAGCATCCTGATACAATGGTAGTAGTTTAGAACTAGTATACAAATTAATTAGTCAGCTTCAGATTTTGTCTGTCTCTTTCACCTGGAGCTCCGTATCTGTCATCCTCATCCCAGCTCCAGAGAAAAGAGCAGCCCCAGTTGCCTTAATTTTCTAAGGCCATGGTACTGAAAAGTACCGAGATGGAAGTCCTTTTGGCTACACTTTCCGTAGACACGAAAATGAGGACTCTTCAGAGGTCCTTTAGCAATGAGTCTCTGGCTCCAACCTACCTCCCTACCCTCTTATGGGTTGATGATATAGGATTGTTATTTATGTGGTTAGGCATGGCTGAAAAAGCCATGGTCAGCTGCTCCGCTTTGTGCACTGTGCCCAGAATATGCATGTGAATGGTTCCTCTGCATTAAGCAAGTATATATGTTGTACTCATTTGGACCCAGCCACATTCACTGATTTAGAGCTTCGATACATACAGTTAGTCTGTGATGGCCTGTGCCTGTGCTTAAACATGGGACAACTGAAAGCATCTGACTGCTGGAAATGGACTCACAGTGGCTCACGGGAGCTGAGAAATTATCAGGAATTGTGCGAGCTGGTTGTTAAGTGCAGCATTATTAAAAATTAAATCAAATCGAGACGTCTGGGTGGCTTGGTCGGTTAAGCAGCTGCCTTCGGCTCAGCTGCCCCGGCCCAGGGTCCGGGGATCGAGTCCTGCATCGGGCTCCCCGCTCAGCAGGGAGTCTGCTTCTCCCTCTCCCTCTGCTTCTCCCCCAGCTTGTGCTCTCTCTCTGACAAATAAATAAATAAAATCTTTAAAAAAGTTAAATCAAATAAGCTTACAACAAACAGAGTATACTAAAAACCAAATAATAGATATTTAGGGCGCCTGGGTGGCTCAGTTGGTTAAGCGACTGCCTTCGGCTCAGGTCATGATCCTGGAGTCCCGGGATCGAGTCCCGCATCGGGCTCCCTGCTTGGCAGGGAGTCTGCTTTGCCCTCTGACCCTATCCCCTCTCATGTGCTCTCTGTCTCTCTCATTCTCTCTGTCTCAAATAAATAAATAAATAAAATCTTTAAAAAAAAAAGATAATAGATATTTAAAACACATTATTTTCTAATTATTTTCTTTATATTTCTTAATTATTTTCCTCTACATACCTATGCTCTTGATGCTTTAGGCATCTATTATACCTGTGTAGTGGAAACATTGTATAATGCCTGGTTACTGCACATCTCTTCCCTGCAGTGCATTCAGTGATCTCAGGTTGGTAGCTATGAATAGGCCACGATGGGAGTATTTACACCACAGAAATCAGCAAATGCTACTGATCAGACTTTGATTTATTGCTTTGTTGGTGTCTAGACCTAAGAAATTAATGGAGAGAATGTTACTAATACAGATTAAACTTAAAAGTATGTAGTGTCCATAGCTCTGACATTGTGAATAGCACAAAAAATGGGGAAATATGACCCCAGTATTCAAAAACTATTATACATTTCAAGAAAAAAGTTACGTCATTGATGAATGAGTGAAGTTCCAATATAGGTCTTCATTGTTTCACATTTGTGGAATGGTTACTCTTTTGTGTAATAAAATTATCAACCAACATTCATATAACAACTACATGTATTCTTCAATTGCAGACATAGATTTTGGCTATGAATGTAATCCAATATCCATACAAAATTGATAACAAAAATCAGTGAAAGTATTCTGTAAGAACCAATTAACTGTACAAAATAAGAAATAAAGAGTACTGGATATTTTGTTATTCATAAACTGTGGGCTGCACATTCTTTGTATTAGTAAAAATTTGTATTGCATTTATGTACATATAAAAATACGCACAGTTTTTCCTTTTCCAGAAGGCCTGTAATTGAACATTTTTTTGCATGCCACTGACTCAAACTTCATTTTCAATAAAACTCCCTTATTACTTCTTGAGACCCTCTGGTTGGCCTGTTTGCTGGGACTGACACAGTCCTCTACTGAGGCCAGGCCTCCTGATTTGGAACCATGCTCCAATAAATTCGTACAATCTTTCTTTCCGGATATCTCCACTCTGATGACCCTGCTTCATCTCACCATATTTTGTTGTTCCCGATTCCCATGGGGTTTGGGCCGTTGCAGCTGGGTTTTGATGTGTTATATTAGAGGAGAGCTGCCATCTCCTTTGTCTCATGCGTTTGTAAGAGAAGTTCTGCTAAAATGAAACCCCCACCCACCTCTGTCCCCTTAAGATAATCCTTATCTTATTCCACTTAACCTACTGATGAATTGGGCGGAGGAACTGAACTTGCTTGTTCAACTGTGGGCCTAGAGAAAACCTGAATTCTTGGTTCTTCTGTGTAGTAGGCATCCAGCAACAAGCTCTTTACATCAGGCAGAGACCCATAGTTTGGGGATGCAAATTTAATCTTGGGGTGGAGTGTTAGGAAGCTTGATGTGGTCCCATAATTCAACATATTATATGTAATCAGTTTTATTAGTAATAAAAATAACATCTGTTCTCTGATTATCATCTTTACTCCATTTTTTAAATAAGTTCTAAACTCAGCAGAGAAAGTTATTTATTGGGTCTCTAAAACTCTGTATGCTATGACGCCAAGGTCTTAAAGATGAGGATGGGTCAGCCCTAATTACAACTGTGCATCCATCCTCTATCTGTCTCCCATAGTCTGATCCCTCCCTGTTTGAATCCACCCAACTCCTGGTAAGCTGGCCTTTTAGTCAGATCTGGTGGTTTCTAATCTGTCTTCCTCTCCCTAATCTTCATGGCTCTGGTGATAACCTGGCTTCCAATGCTCTCCTCACCTGATGTCTTTCACTGTGATAGGCCTGATTTCCTTTTGACTTTTGGAGTCATACAGACCCGAATTTGAATCCCAGCTCTGTCATTTACTAGCTAAATAACCTTGGGTATAAATTTTCTCCGTCTTAGATTTTAAATCTGTAAAATGGGTATAAGTATAGGACTAACCTCATAGGGTTGTTTGAAGATTGAGCAAGGCAAATATGCAAAGATTTAACATAGTCCCTGACACATAATAAATGCTCATGGGGCGCCTGGGTGACTCAGTTGGTTAAGTGACTGCCTTCAGCTCAGGTCATGATCCCAGGGTCCTGGGATCGAGTCCCACATCGGGCTCCCGGCTCAGCGGGGAGCCTGCTTCTCTCTCTGACCCTCTCCCCTCTCATGCTGTTTCTCTCTCACTCGCTCTCTAATAAATAAATAAATAAATATTTAAAAAAATCAATCAATCAATAAATAAATACTCAAAAGATGGTAGCTATAACATTTTTCCTTCTCCCTCTCTCCTGCTTGTTAGGATTCCCCAGGCTTTAGACCATGGTCCTCTACCATTTCCATTTATTCCCATTTAGAGTCTTACTGAGCTGTGTGGCATTAGCCAGCACATTCTTTAATGGCGCACAAGTCTCCTCCTCCATCTTGGCCTTCTCAGCAGAGCGTTATCACGCACATTTTTGACTGACATTAAGACATTGCCTATGACATATCCTCCTGCCCATGATCTGACCATCCCCAAATTAGTATGCCCTTCCCATTTCCTCATTTCCGTCAGTGGCACCCCTATATGTCCTTGTTCTTAGGCTTGCAAGTTGCATTCTTTACTCCCCATAGCTGATTAGTCATTAAGCCCCCCTTGCTCTTTCTCAGAGCTTCGGTTACCCTTCATCTTGTGACTGACAGTGAAGCTAGCTGAGAAGCCGTTTGGTGCACTCCCATTCAGCCTCCTTACTGCTCTCTGCCCTTGATATCCTTGTTTTCTCCTTTGTGCTTTTGTTCATGATGCTCAAGGGACACTTGATGATCTTTAAGCCAGTCTCTTATTATTTACTGACTTACACTGCTCGCTCTTTGAAATGTGTATGTCTTTTCTCTTCAACTAGGTTGTAAACTCCTTGAAGACAAAAAACAGGTCATAAACTTCTCGGAATTACTGTCATAGGGCTAAACACAGTGCTCAATAAAGGCCTCCTAATGGAATGAATTGATTGAATATAACCCTCTCTTGTTAAGAAAATGTAATAGCATTCTCTTGCCTGTTAAGCCAGTCCCAAGCTCTTCAGACTGGTCTTGCAGGTAGACTGTCAGAGGGCTCCACCCTAACATGCTCTTAACATCAGCTCTTTCCTGACGTGGGCCTTCCATTTGGGTGACACCACATGCACATGCACACACACACGCACACGCACACACATACACTGAACCGGGCATTAAAGTTATAATCTTTCTGTCTCAGTTTTGCCTGGGGCCTCAAGACAGTAGGTTCTTAACAGCCCACATTGAAAAATACAATGCTGGATCACTTGTGACGAACTTGTAAAGGAGGTAGAGAAGACCAGTGTTGTGACCCTTTTCCCAACAATAGGCTGAGGTTGGCAAGGACTGGGAAGTCAGGAAGAACTCTCCCAAGAAAGTTGTTTCAGTGCAAAGGCATGCCTCCCTTCCAACGGCAGCGATGGGGGGCTTTCTCCTCATATCATGTCCAGTGAAGGGTCTTGAAGACGACTCCACAGAGAGCTTGATATATGTTTTCTGGAGTTCCAAGGGAAAAATGGAACCGATGTGTAACTCATGATGAGAAACTTTAAAGGTTCAAGTCTGTGGCCGGGGTTGCTTGTCTGTTGGCAAAGGAAAGAAAGGCAGGTAAATTCGGAGTCAAGAGTACTTTTGCTGCAGGTTCCCTGTAGACCAGTTGCCGAACCAGCTGGGTCCCTTTGAAATGAAAGCAGACCACACTCAAAGGACTTCTGGAGATGGGTCATTTTGGCAGAAAGAAGCTGGAGGTGTTCCAGTGGGGAGGGCTGAAGGTTGTAAGGGGAGGATGTGCCTTTCATCAGACTCCCACCTTCTTTGTTAGCTCCTCTTTCTCACTTGCTCCTGAATGTTGAAGGAAGTTAGTGTGATTTTATCAATCCTCCCATCTACGTTGGCACTAGCAGTGTGTTTGAAAACTCAAAGGCATGAAGCTTCACAAAAGCATTTCAGGGCTCCAAGGAGCCCAAGGAGTCCGTATGTTCTCGATGTCTCCGTGAGAATGAATGAATCATAGACGTGCATTGAACAATTAAAGCTGCGTGCTTCCTTGACAGGTGATACAGGCTTGCCATTCTTGTCCCAGAGCAATCGAAGTTGTAGTCAATGCCTATGAACACATCAGGTGGAACGTAAAGTGGAAAAGAGCTATCCCCGACGATGACTTGGAGGTAAAGAATCCATTCACTTTCTGTGGTTTTCACTGTAAAATAGTTCAAGACTGCAATAGAAGTACAGAAAATTCTAATTAAAAAACTGGTCTTGAGAATGCTTTTAAGAGATACTCAAATGCAGTGAGACAAATGGTTATAAAACGTGGATATAAGAGGGACACCTGGGTGGCCCAGTCGGTTAAGTGTCTGCCTTTGGCTCAGGTCATGATCCCAGGGTCCTGGGATCGAGCCCTGAATCGGGCTCCCTGCTCAGCAGGGAGTCTGCTTCTCCCTCTCCCTCTGTGTGCTCAACACACTCTCTCTCTCTTTCTTTCTCAAATAAATAAAATCTTTAAAAAGAATGCAGATGTGAGAATAAATAGATACATCGTGTATGTAGCATTTACAAATGTCTGGAGGATTTCTCCATTTAAGGGCAAGTTGAACATTTGTATATAAGTGACAGTTTTACTTTCTCCTCAATAATTTAGATAATTTAATAATAATAATAATAGTAGTAATATTTGAGATTGCTTATGTAATATTTTTACCAGAAGATTAGTTTTTCATGTAGGTTATTTCATTTGCTTTTTTGAAAAGATATATTTATTTATTTTAGAGAGATAGAGAGAGAGGAGGAGGATGAGAGGAAGGGACAGAGGGAGAGGGAATCTCAAGAAGATGCCACACTGAGCGCTGAGCCCCACGTGGGGCCCAGTCTCACAACCCTGAGATCACAACCTGAGCCGAAACCAAGAGTCAGACACTTAACTGACTGAGCTACCCAGGCGCCCCTATTTCATTCACTTTTAGTTATTTTGAAGACTTTAGGTATATTAAAAATCCTTAATGACTCATGCAGAAAGCCATTGACAAAGCTGAGTTCTCACTCTGCAAATGGACTTTGCTGCCTTGGTAAACCAGCCCTCCCACTGAGCCTCCCATTCTTGGTTTTAGCAGTCACAGGCCCTCTCCAGCATGTGGAGAGGAACCAGGCACAGAGTGCAAAGCTCATTGGGCTCAGAGCCTGATGGCTTAGGTGCAAATGTACTCTGCTACTTTTGAACTATCTTACCCTTAAAAAGTTACTTATAATCTGCGTTAGCGTCATTAATAGAAAAAATATCTGAATGTATGGGCCACATAAGGCACATAAAGGGTATACAGTAGTATTTAGATTAATTTCAAACTGCTGTTTTGATATACGCTGGTCCAGGCAGTTCGCAGGAGTATATTTTATCTCATTTCCAGGGTTCTGAATTGTAGCATGGTATACCCCCTCGTCTCCCTTTTCTCCTCACATATCACTGCCTCAGCCCGTGTCTCAATTTCACGTTTAATTTTATCTCATGGTCAGAGACCCTAGAAAGCTGCCACTGTGAAAAAGTAGGGACTAAGTGCGTCATTGTTGATTTCTACTGATGTAAACCCCAGGGCTTTTCTGCCTCTAACCTGTCATGCCTTCCTTTACAGAGACACTGGGATTTTTACCACTCTCTCTTCACTGTGTGCAGTAACTCTCCAAGGACTCTCATGCATTTATCGAGATGCGCCATTCGAAGAACGTTGCACAACAGATGTCACCGAGCAATTCCTTTGCTGTCCCTCCCACTGTCATTGAAAAAGTACTTGCTTTTGGAGCCAGAGGGAATCATTTATTAAGCCTTATGAGACAGAAGTTCCCAATCCTAGATATTTAAGTGGACTCACCGGGTAGACACAGTTTGCATAAATAAAATGGTACTTGGGTTGATTATAACACTTCAGGGATTTCAAAACACTTGACAAACTCTATGTCATTAATCCTAGGGTATCACCGTGAGGGGAAATAAACAAGAAGTAAAGTTAAGGAATTCTCAAAGACAAGAATGTATCCAGAAGGTACTGACAGCAGTAATGACTAATGTGTATAGTGTTTTTCCTCGGTGCCTGATATATTTTTGTAAAACTTTTCATATATCATCTCATTTGAAATGGGACCCAGCTTTTCTTACAACCAATCTCATTCTCTCCCTTCTCAGTAATAGGTTTACATTACTGTTCAGTTGGCGAAATCATAGACTTTGTGATTGGCCTCTTAATCTCAGTGGCTTCCCCCAAACTCCCCTCCCACCATGGTTACCACTTAGCAGAGATTATGGTCACTAGTTTTGCAAACCTCTGTCCCCACTCTAAGCTCTTTAACTTATTTTTGGTGAAGAGAGCATATGAGCCTCATCAAAACAAGGAGATCTTTGAGTTAAAGGAGAAATGAAAAACAAAGACCAGTCCACTTAGTAGCCAAAATATGGACATTTCAACATACGCTCGTTGAGCCATAGACTGGAGATGCAACGGGGAGTCTACAGCGAGGACTCCTGCCCTCCAGAATCTCACCATTTAGCAGAGGATCCGGACATACAAGCAGGAAACTGCAATGTCAAATGTCAGGGGTAACAATACAGGGTGCAAACTCATTTTTAGTGTTTCTGTTTCAAAGTCGTGTTTCTGACCCAAAGCGTGATTTTCCTTTTAAGCATGAACATGAAAGAGTGAAGGGAATTGCGTGACATAGAGGGAGGCCCCGCTGCTGTTAGTGTAAATGTAGGACTTTCAGTTTCTCTGAACATCTAGAAACTCTTTGATTTTACTATGATTTCCTGTTTGGTAAAAATATTGGGAAAAAATATTGCACACTCAATGGCTCCTATGTATGTGACAAGAAAGTTGAGTAAGATGTGTACAAGGAAGTGTGTGAAGGGAAGCCCTTCAGTTGATGACTTGGTCTCATTGTGTAACAGACTGACATTTCAGAGCATTTTAGCTGGAAGATAAGGAGCACTTTGCAAGCGATGGCCGGCTACTGAAAGAGCAAAAGAAAGACTTTGAAAATGGTTAAAGTCGAAGAAACTTGGAAAGATAAGTGTGTCAATCAGGCTTGTTAGTTAGTGGTTTGCAGAAAGTGAAACCTAGATGATTCACCTCTGGACCTCAGGGTTGATGAGGCCAACTTTGCTTCGCCTTTTTGTTCTTGCTAATCACTTTTAGGTAAGCTCATTGCCTCTTAGCGTCGCTTTTTTAGAAGTTAGAGCAGAAGTAATTAAGTACAAACCAATCCATTTGCCAGTTGTGAGCAGGTTTCTTTTATTTGTGTGGTTCTTCATCTTTTTTTTCTTTTTTCTTTTGAGAGAGAGTGTGAGAGAGAGCACAGAGGGAAAGGGAGAAGCAGGCTCCCTGCTGAGCAGAGAGCCCTGATGCAGGGTTCCATCCCAGGACCCTGAGATCATGACCTGAGCCAAAAGCAGACGCTTAACAACTGAGCCACCCAGGTGCCCCATGGTTCTTCATCTTATTTAACTTTAGTTCCTTGAGTTTTGAGTAGAGATGATGTCAAATATTCCACCAGCCCACCACCTAGACTGTGCTTCTAAACTGGGATTCTTATACGTCCTGTGCCCTGTAGGAAAAAGCATGGCTAGATACAATAATGTTTCTGATTTTCCTCAGTCTTACTCAGATATTTTGAGTGAACTAATTTGTACTAAAACAAGATCTATATTGTGGAATAGGATGCTGAATTTGTATAAACTATTCATATAAAAACGTTGATCCTTCAAAAAATTGTTTGCGGCAAGTGGTGTTGGAACACATCCTAGAATGCTGGGCGGGGGCGCATGTCGCCCTCACCTTTAGGAATATTCTGGCCGAAAAATTTGTGATGCACTGTCTTTGTCAATAAAACGCTGAAGACAAAGGGAGAGGGTATTCCTGCATTAGGAAATGTTTCTCAATCTGCTTGCTTGTGCTTAGACATTTTATTAGTACATAATACGTGCCTACTTGTTTTGAATTGTTTACTCACACATTTAAAGTCATTTCTCTTTATCTTTGAACTTTTATTTAGAGGACTTAAATAAAGCTCTTGTTTCCTTTCGTCTTTGGGAGTTGTTTATCTACTGATAAGACTTTTTTCCAATTGGCTACAGCTAGAGATCTCTGAAGAGCCCTACATGTTTCATTGCTGTCTTCAACATTGAGAAAGAAAAAGAGAATGAGGAAATGTGCCAGTAAATGAATAATATTTTCAAAAGAAAGTAAAGGGTAAACACAAATAAAAGGCAGGCTGTTACTGTAGGAACAAGAGTGTTTTTTTTTTTTTTAAGATGTATTTATTTGTTTTAGAGAGAGCAAGCAGGCACACGTGAGCAGGGGAGGGAGAGGGAGAGAAGCAGACTCCCTGCTGACCATGGAGTCCAACTGTGGGGCTTGAACTCACCACCCTGAGATCATGACCTGAGCTGAAATCAAGAGTCAGATGCTCAACCAACTGAGCCACCCAGGTGCCCCGGAAAAAAGAGTGTTTTAATCATAATAAAGAAATGCTACCACAGTCATTCTCTCCTGCCTGTCTCCATCTCTGTCCTCCTGGTCCTTTCATTCCCCTTCATTCTCCCCATTCACACAACCCCGGGCAACAGCAACAGAGGAAATGATGTCTTCATGCCGCTTTTGTAACTTTCTGTAAATAGTCATTTAGTGGCCTGAGAAAACAAACCTCTTCTCTTTTGTAAGTTACATGTGAGGAAAGATCTTTAATAGGAGGGAAGACCACCCATCCAGCTTTCTCGCCTTCTCAGGATCTAGACGCACTTGTGTTCTATTTCTTAATCACTTAGTGTTACATTGCCACTTTGTCCTTCCATCCTGAACCCAGTGGCTTCTAATAAAAAACACAGCAGTTGAAAACTGATTGTACAGATAACCATTTGCAGTGGGTTATCAATGTTGGAAAGAACAGCTGAGCCTTATGTTTTTGTTACTCATCGGATTGTTTGCGAGGAACTCAAGTTTTAAATTGGCACACTTTCAAAACTTTAAGAAAAACAGTCCAAATTATTCACTCATTTTCTTCGAAACACAGACACCATGGCTGGTGTCTGGAAGAAATTCATTGTCACTCTCCTAAGAGTATAAACAGATGCATTACAGTTAAATGTTAAGAGTTTTGGCTCTGGTACCCGTCTACCTGTGTTCGTTTTCTGACTTCCAACCTTATCTGATCCATTATCTAGGGAAAAGGATGCACTTGGTCCCTGACTCAGTTTCCTTATTTATAAAATGGGAATGATAATGGTAACTATATCATAAAAATTTTACATGACTGTCTTGAGGTGTAGAGGAGGAAAAAGTTTTCCTTGACTCTCTTAGGATCTCAGGTTGGGTCTGAAAATTAAACTGACAAAGATCATAAAAGAAAGGCATACAAGGTTCTACATGATACGGAACCTTCATAAGGAAATGAGGATCTGAAAAAACAGAACTGAGTATTTTTATGTTAAGTTTGATTAAGAGTGGGCAGTTGTGTAGAAAATATGATGGATCCTTAAGGAGTATGAGGGGAAACTTAGCAAGTCCTCTTTGTTAGTATTCTTCTCTGGTGTTCCTTTGTCTTAAGAGATAAAGATGCTTCTTTCCTCCAGGTACAGGGAGGGCACCTCCCACAGGAGGGTTTTCCGACCTGTTTCAGGGGAGAAGATGTGGGAAAATCAGAGTTACCTTCTTGCTTCTGCTGTTTTCTCAAACTCCTTCAGCTTGAAGTATTCAATATGACAAGATACCATACTTTGGGCAGCATGTCCTAAAACCCCATCAGAGGGTTAAATTGCTTTCACATTAAATCACATAGAACAGTAAGCATTTTCTCAGTATCATTGTCCTTGTTACTTTCATAATTATTATCATTTAGGGAGAGGTTTCTACCAGTAGGGTGAAGCTATAGCCAAAAGGGATACATGGTAGATTTTTGCTCACATTGACAAATACTTGTTGAGCTCCTACTATGCACTAGGCACTTTGCTCGGGGCTGGAATCAATGAGGGAAACAAGACAAACCAGGTCCCTGACTTTCTTGGGCTTTTCGAGATAGGAGATGAAGGTTGAAATTACATGGATTTGGATGATTAGCAAACAAGCGAATTAATTACTTTAGGAAAATTTTCCCTTTTGCAAATGGGTTTATCAAGGATGCAATGAGTATGATAGTTCACCAATTAGACAACCCTGATGGAAGCAGAAGGTGAAAGTTTGTTGTAGAGAGTAGAAGATGCGGTTGGCAGGGCTGGGAGGATCAAATTATGAAGTATCTTGAACCATGGGGAAGCACCATCAGGAACCAATGGAGTATTAGTATCATGATTGTTCTTTTTCCAACCTTATAACTTCTATGGTAGTAATAATTATAATACAACTGTGTAACATTTATATGGTATTTTATAATGTTCAGAGAACCTTCATGGTGCTTAAAACAAGGTAATTGCCTTTACCATTCCCCTCAACTCCTCTTCCCTGCCCCCCTTACAATTCTGAAGATTTAGACATGAAAAAAAAAAATCTAAACATGACATTAATTAACCCTTTTCTTGTGTAAACCATTCCAATCATATGGAATGATTTACTCAAGCAAATAAATGACTATATAGCTTTGCATTTTTTTTAAAGTATTTTATTTATTTATTTGAGAGAGAGAGCACGAGTGGTGAGGAGGAACAGTGGGAGAGGGTGAAGCAGACTCCCTGCTGAGCAGGGAGCCTGACAGGATCCCAGGACCCTGGGATCATGCATGACCTGAGCCGAAGGCAGACGCTTAACCGACTGAGCCATCCAGGTACCCCAAGCCTTGCATTTTTTTTTAATATCAAAAGCTAAAGAATGTTTTTTTTTTTAGGGGCGCCTGGGTGGCTCAGTTGGTTGGGCGATTGCCTTCGGCTCAGGTCATGATCCTGGAGTCTCAGGATCGAGTCCCGCATCGGGCTCCCTGCTCGGTGGGGAGTCTGCTTCTCCCTCTGACCTCCCCTCTCTCATGCTCTCTCTCTCTCAAATAAATAAATAAAATCTTAAAAAAAAAGAATTCTTTTTTTTTTAAATTTACGGGGGGGAAAAAGGAACTCTTGCTTCCAAGACATAAGAGAGACATAATAGAGGCAAAATTTGAAGTTCTAAGACTGCATATAATTCTCGTCATGGCCGTGTTCAAGTGATAAATTGTTTACAGAAGCACTACTTGATTATGGTCCTTCAGGGGCCCCAGACCTTCCAACACTGCTGAAGTCTGTGCAACAATGAGAAACCTCTTAGGATGATCCACCGGAGAGAGCTTAGGCAGCCTCAAATGGTTTCTAAGTAACCTTAGGGTAGTTCTACAATAAAGATACCTATAAAGAAACTGCAGTGTTTGCTCCCATTTGTAAGCAATACAATGCCACTCAGGGGGCAAAATATGGATTTTAGAATTCAATAGTTTGGGATTTCAATCTGGATGGTGCCGCTAAATATGTGTGAATTTGAGCCGGTTTCTTAATCCAAGTGTCAATTTCTTTATTTGGATAGAAAAGATTAACTTCCTGATTTACAGTGCTCTTTTGGGAACTAAATGAAATGATGCATGTAAAGCATCTAAAGCAGGGTCCTCTATGTAGCTGAACCCCAGTAAATGCTCAGATGCTACATGGGTCAGCTATGTGTGCACAGAGGGGACGGAATTATGTAATTATGCTGGAAGATATACAGTTTCCAAGACATTCATGTGCACAGGCCCGAGAAGTGACTTGTGGTTTTTATTGCATTTTATTTAATGATGACGATTTTCCTGTGGTACAAGCTCTCCTGTGGCAAGCTGTTCCAAGCCCCCTGGATGTTGGTTTTCTGCTCTTCGTAGCTTGGCCTGAAGAGGGCAGTGTAGAACTTTCCTCCCTGCCATGAATCAGAGCTGTGGGCTACTAACTGGCATGTAGCTCCCCCTTCTTCTTCTTTTTTTTTTAAATTTTTTATTGTTATGTTAATCACCATACATTACATCATTAGTTTTTAATGTAGTGTTCCATGATTCATTGTTTGCATATAACACCCAGTGCTCCATTCAGTAAGTGCCCTCTTTAATACCCATCACCAGGCTAACCCATCCCCCCACCTCCTCTCCCCTCTAGAACCCTCAGTTTGTTTTTCAGAGTCCATCATCTCTCATGGTTTGTCTCCCCCTCCGGTTTCCCTCCCTTCATTCTTCCCCTCCTGCTATCTTCTTTTTTTTTTTTCTTAACATATATTGCATTATTTGTTTCAGAGGTACAGATCTGTGATTCAACAGTCTTGCACAATTCACAGCATTCACCATAGCACATACCCTCCCTAATGTCTATCACACTCCAGCACTCCAGCACCCCTCACTCCAGCACCCCCCACTCCAGCAATCCTCAGTTTGTTTCCTGAGATTAAGAATTCCTCATATCAGTGAGGTCATATGATACATGTCTTTCTCTGATTGACTTATTTCGCTCAGCATAACACCCTCCAGTTCCATCCACGTCATTGCAAATGGCAAGATTTCATTCCTTTTGATGGCTGCATAATATTCCATTATATATATATATATATATATATATATATATATATATATATATATATATATATATATATACCACTTCTTCTTTATCCATTCATCTGTCGATGGACATCGTGGCTCTTTTCACAGTCCGGCTATTGTAGACATTGCTGCTATAAACATTGGTGTGCACGTACCCCTTCAGATCCCTACATTTGTATCTTTGGGGTAAATTGGATTTCCCTGATGCCGAGCGATGTTCAGCACTTTTTCATGTGTCTGTTGGCCATTTGGATGTCTTCTTCAGAAAAATGTCTGTTGATGTCTTCTGCCCATTTCTTGATTGGATTTTTTGTTCTTTGGGTGTTGAGTTTGATAAGTTCTTTATAGATTTTGGATACTAGCCCTTTATCTGATATGTCATTTGCAAATATCTGCTTCCATTCTGTCGGTTGTCTTTTGGTTTTGTTGACTATGTCCTTTGCTTTGCAAAAGCTTCTTATCTTGATGAAGTCCCAATAGTTCATTTTTGCCCTCGCTTCCCTTGCCTTTGGCGATG